ATATTATTTTAGCACTAATTTATGAGTGAGAACATACAAATACTTGACTTTCTGTGTCTGGCGTTTTTCACGTAAGATAATAACATTCAGTTCCATACATGATTCTGCTAAATAGATGATGTCACTGTACTTCATAGAGGAAGAATTTTCCGAGACCCGGACATACCATATGGTGGCGCGGGCGGGGCGCGCGGATAGAGGGTGGGGCGGGATGTCAGCGGCGACGCGGCCGGGGCTGTTTGGAAACCCGGCGCGGGGCCGGCCTCTCGGGGATGCGGCGTCTGACTCCAGGAAGGCGCCCCTGGACGCCGGGCCCCTGCGGCCCGGGCGGAGGTAGGCGGCCGGAGCGGGCAGGGGCTCGTCCCGGCGTGGTCTTCCCGGCTTCCTGCCCCCCTCGGCCGTCCCCACCTCTCTCTCCTCCCGGGCTCATTGGCTCTTTGGCTTGGCTTCACTTTCTTACTGCATTCCCGGGCCATCGATCACCCCTTTACTGGGTTCCATTCATAAGCAGTTTGGATGTGGGTTGGCCGTGGCGTTTCGTCTCCGTAGTCGGGCCCCTTTGTTCTCTCCTTCCAGCAGGGACCTCACTGTCAAGGACAGCCACATCTGGGTTTTTGTCATAGAGTGCACGGGTGGTGGCTGAAGTTCATCTCCAAGGGCAGGGCTGCACCAGGTGCCAGAGACCACGCCACTACACCGGGCACAAACCAATTACCTAGATTTTCAGTTTCCTGTCACATTGCTTCCTACCCAAGAGTCACGTCAAAATTTGGTGGCTTTTTACCTACAGGCGCAAACGTTTTAAAAATTCATGGTAATATCCGGGTGCAGTGGCTCGCGCCTGTAAATCCCCCAGCACTTTGGGAGCCCGAGGTGGGAGAATTGCTTAGCCCAGGAGTTCCAGACCCAGCCTGGGCAACATAACAAGACCTCATGGCTATAAAAATTTTTTAAAAATTAGCCGGGTGTGGTGGCATCTGTAATCTCAGCTACTCGGGAGGCTGAAGAGAGACGATTGCTTGAACCCAGCTAAGTCGTGAGCCCTTGATGGTGCCACTGCAGTTCAGCCTGGGCTACAGAGTGAGCCCCCGACTCCAAATAAAAAGTAAATAATTATTCATAGTAATAGCTAGTACATAAGACTCTCAAGGTGCCAGGCCTTGTTCTAAGTATTTTACAGAGGTCTCGACCCCCCCCCCCAAAAAAAAGAAAATGTATGGTTGGAAGTGCCTTGCTTTGAAATATAGGGATTTGGTATTTAAAGTCTGACTTCTAATTCAAGTTATTCTTTTTTCCCCACATCATTTAAGTTTTGGAGGGAAAATAGTAGTTTATAGCCTTTGCTTCTACCAAAACTTGTTTCTTTAATGTGTATTAAGGCACTGTTCTGAGCCAAGCTTTATCACATTTGATTTACATAACTTTCCTGTTCACAGATGAAGAAACTGAGACACAAAAGTTAAATAACTTGCTCAAGGTCTCACAGCTTAGAGAATAGCAAAACTGGGATGCTAGCATCTTGTAGTTTTTGTTTTTTCTTCAAATACTGTACGCAGTACTGCAGATCACAACAAGCAGAACTCCTACTATGAGCTGGGCAAGTTTGAGGCATTTGGAGTACATCAGTAAACAAGGCAAAACTCCCTGCCATTGACTATATTCTGATTTGATGAATATGTTAGACAGTGAGAGCAACTACAATAATTTGGGTTATTTTGCTATTTATCTGTTCAGTTGTGTGAGTTAGATGTTAAAATTTTACTCTTATTACAAGTTTTGCACATTCAGCTCCACCACTTTTAACTCACCATTAGTCTTAAATAGTATACATGACCATTCCAACTGCTCACCTCTTCTACCCTCTGGTGGAGATGTTAGTTAATGAGTAGGAAAAGGGCCAGAAGAATCCACAGACCTGGCCTCTGAACGGCTCAGTAAGGAATCATGTCTATTCCTGTATTTATTTTTGTTTGCATGACAAAGATTAGTATGGGGAAGTGTTAAAAAGAGGATTCTCAGGCAATGGAAAGTGTATTTATTGAATCTCATACTTTATATCTTAGAATCTTGGACTTTAAAGTCATTTATTCTGGTAACTAGGAAAAAGTATATACTTATAAAATAAATTTAAGAATTATTAGGATGTATTAAAAGCTGAAAGCCCCTGTATAATTGCTCTTTTGGGCATCAGATTGTGCAGGACTTTGGAATGCCAATATTTTAATTTTATTCTCTAAATTCTAAAGAGCAGTAGGTGATGTATAAGTTTGTATGTTAATAGCTATGAAGTTCTAGGGCACTGTGGCTCACACTTATAATTCCAGCACTTTTTGAGGTCAAGGTGGGAGGGTTACTTGAGGCCAGATTCAGTACCAACTTGAGCAACATAGCGGGGCCCTGTCTTTACAGAAAATTAGCAGTGTGGTGACATGTGCCTATAATCTCAGCTCCTTGTGAGGCTGAGGCAGAGGATTACTTGAGTCCAGGAGGTTGAGGCTACAGTAAGCCAAGATTGTGTCACTGCACTGGAGCCTGGGCAACAGAGTGAGACCCTACCTCAAAAAAAAAAAAAAAAAAAAAAAAAGTTGGGCACGGTGCCTCATGCCTGTAATCCCAGCATTTTGGGAAGGAAGTTGGGAGGATCGCTTGAGCCCAGGAGTTCAAGAGCTGCTTAGGCTAGTAGGTCTCAAATTAGGTAGTGAGACCTCATCTCTACAGAACATTAGCTGCGTGTGGTGGCAGGTACCTATAGTCCCAGATACTTGGAATGCTGAGGTGGACGGATGGCCTGAACCCAGGAGGTGAAGCTGCAGTGAGCCCTAAGCAACAGATTGAGACCCTCTGAAAAAAGACCATAAAGTTCTAGGAAGCTTACTCTGGTGGGTTATGGTGTTGAAGGCAAATGAGATGGGGCGGACTATCAAGATAGAGTCCAGGCAGATTTAATAAGCCCTGGCAGGTACCCAAAACTAATTGATGCCTGGTTGAATTGAGTAACAGGAAATGGAGAGGGTTTTTTTTTGTTGTTGTTCAGGTGAGCTGGCTGAGGAGCCACCCAGCCTAACACTCAGAGGTCTCAGTTGGTTCTAGTTTGTTGTTTAATAGCAAAGGGTATATTAGAATCAGAAAACAAATGGCAAATTTTGGGGTATGAACACAAGCACTGTCTTCGGATAGGTGCTCAAAACCACTATAGAGATAATATTATCTGTCCTCCAACTCCTGTCCACTCCCTTAATTAGAGGAGTTAGGCTGATGGTTTATTTTTGAAGAGTTAAAAGTTCTCAGAATGTTAGCACATCTATACTAACCCTTTGCATTCAGATGTTCCCTAAGGGCACATCGTAAATCAGGCAAACCACTTGGTGGCTACGTAAAGAGATTGCTGAGATTATACAGAACAAACATATGCCAGCTCAGATTTTTTGAAAATGTATGTTTTCTGAAGTTTTCCCTTCAAATTGCACGATAAAACAAATAAAGAGATGGAATATATGCTGAGATTTGATCAGTCAGCCGAGGAGTGGTTTTCAGGAATCACAAGTAAGTCCTTCCACTTCTTCAGACAACAGGATGGACAATAAATGACATATTGTTAATGTGGGAAGAAGAAAACGAGACCTCATTACTGTTGCACAACGTGTATCAGTGAACCTGCAATGCATGTCAGTGACTGTTTTACATTACTACGTGTTAGAAAAATATATAAAATTTTGATCTTTTTCATAAATTCCTCAATGTCCAAAATTCCATTATAAGCCAAATATCTTTACAATAAAATATTTGGTTTTAGCACTATACTACTTAATATGAAGTGATTTGTTTTTCACTATTTCATTACAAAGTGGTCGAGTTTCTGATAGGTGGTCTGAAAGATGTCTCTTAGTGCAAAGGGTTAATCACATTAAATGATGTCATAGCTTAGCAAAATATAATTTGGGGCAACCAAATGTTCAATCTTGGGAAAGCTGTATTTCTATCAACTAGCCTAAAGAAAAGTACTCACATCGTGAAGGTATTTTCAGTGCCTTATTACAATTCTTACTGAAGGATAAACTTCTTTAATAGATCATTTTTAAGGAAATTTTTAAATATTAAAATTGTTTTGTTTATGGCAAGACTATGTAAGTGTAATTTACATAGAATAAATTGGTTAAAGACTTTTTCATAGTATATATAGTACTTAAGATTCTAGATTTTAAGAAATCAATTGGTATTTCATTTTAAGTTTTCTAGACGGAGTTGGTTTAGTGTTCAGAAAGAGTTCCAGTGTTGCTTAGGAGTCTTTCACTGCCTCCTTGGAAAGTCCTTTGTATGTAACACTAGGAGCCTAAAAACACTTGTAAAGTTTGCATTAAAGCATTTTCCACTGGCAGCAGAAGTATTTTTATCTCATTTTATGACAGAGTGAACATTCTTTATGAAAGTTATATTTTGGTCTAGAAAAATAAACTTTTTGCCTCTATTTTTTGTCACTTAGGTTTGAAAAAATGGCCAAGAGAATTGCCGAGAAAGAGTTGACAGATAGGAATTGGGATCAAGAAGACGAAGCGGAAGAGGTAAAAAGTTTTCCCTAAGAATGATTTCCTGCTTCTTCTGCATTTGAATTCATTTTGGGGTTCCTTGTGAAGACTTTTCAAGAATATCCTGAATGAGAGATATTATGGTTCCTTATGACCTGTACTTAGCATAGAAACTTATTACTTACATTTGTATGTGCTTTTCTACCAGCACCTGTTCCATCAGTATTCTCCTTTGTCAAATCACCTTTCTTCTGGATTTTATATACTTGGAGAATTCTAAACCCATGGTTTTGAGCAAGTGGTTTTAGTCTTAACCAAAGGGTGAATTAAGTGATATAGTCACAAACTTAGCACAAACATGTAAAGTGGTATGCCATCACCATTTCAGCATGCCATATTTCCTTACTCTAATACTTCTTGGAGGCCTGCTTTATTTTCCTGTTCTTGTAGTAGATCTGAGAAACTTTAGCAGTTACATTAATGCAATAGAATTTAGATTGGCCTAATTTCTTTCTCAGCAAAATTTAAATGGTCTTCCCTTAGGAAATCTTATTTTTCCCTTATAAAGAATAGGACACAGCTGCATTTCTTTTTTTTTTGAGTTGGAGTCTGACTCTGTCACCCAGACTAGATTGCAGTGACCGCTCCCAGCCACTGCAGCCTCAACCTGCTGGGCTACGGCAATCTTTCCGCTTCAAGCCTTCCAAGTAGCTGGAACTACAGGCGTGCGCTACCATGCGCAGCTAATTTTTGATTCATTGTAGACATGAGGTCTCACCAGATCTCCCAGGCGGATCTCGAACCCGCCGGCTCAGGCAATCCACTCACCTCAGCCTCCCAAAGCGCGGGATTATAGGCCAAACCACCGAGCCTGGCACAACTGCATTTCTAATGCTTTGTCAGCAGTTTGATACTTCCCGGCCAGTTCACTAAGGAAACCTGTAACCAAGTTAGCCTTTCAAGTTAATAGCATAGTGCTAAGTTAAAATATATATATATATATAGAGAGAGAGAGAGACAGTTTAGGAACCTGCAAGCTTATTCTTAGACTACTATCTTCTTTCTGAATCTTTCTAGTAATAATATTTTTTCTTTACAAATACACATATTCTAATATGTTGGAGAAACCAGAATCTCAAGTGTGTTAATGTTTTGCCAGGACCTTAACTGACTTGGTGCTTTTTAACTAACTCTTTGGTTTTGGTTTTTTGGTTTTTTTTAAGATCTTAAGCATAAGTTACATTCTGGACTATAATAAGATGCAGACTACTATATCACAGTTTGCTTTAATATTTAAATATTCAGGAATGAAAGCACTCCCATTTGGATATATTCTAATGAAATAAGTATGAAAGGATTCATTTAATTAATTACATTTAACTTGGGGCAAGTGTGGCCAGAAGGTGCTCTTTTTGGGTATAGGGATCCCATTAAATTTAACATGACCTGAAATAACTTAGAGGTGAGAAATTTTGTACAAGGAATAGTTTATTCTTGCCCTACAAGATAAAAGACAGGTCATGGTAAAGCCAAAGAGCTTCAGCAATGTTCTGATTGTGGATGTTGTCCTTTTAGTGTACTGTGGAAAAGCACGTAGAGTCCTTGGTCCCTCAGTGGCCTTTTGTACAGTGGGCAGGTTGGGCAAGATTCATCTTAAAAATCATGGGTTTTTTTTTTAATAAAGATGTGGGTGCATATCAGCTTTAGGTGTTCAAACATTGATCATGCAGATACCCTTGTTGATGAGGTATGCCCCTCTTCGGTTTCCCTCAACTGCCAATCCCACCCCCCCAGGGTTGGTTAATAAATATAAATTTTATTTCTGAAAACTAGTAGTAAGACTCAATTCAGTCATCTGGGTTTCAGAATAAGTTCTATTGTCAGGTATTTATGATCTTTCAGGTACTTTCCAACTTTTAGACAATCGCTTTTGCTTAAAAAAACTGAAAATTTACTGTATACTTTATGCATATCTTAGAATATGTATATCTGAAATATTTGAAGAATTAGTCATGAGTATTTTTCACCAACGTTTTGATGGTCTTAATCTTTTCAAAGGTTTGTGCATATACAAGGTCTGACGGTCTGACAATTAGGTTCATGAACCATCCTAGAAAAAGTGCTACATACTTCATTGCTGAATATCACTGCAACCACCTTCGAAGTACTCCCATTGGGAAATTATGCACCAACACCAGCGCCTAGTCCTCTCATCAAAACAATTTTGGAACTTTTTCTGGGATGGTCATCAGAGCTGTTGTCGTTAGTTGTTGAAGTCTGACAAGTTTGTGAATTTGCCACCATGTGCTTATGTTGGCAGCACTGTACAAATAACTGTATTGGAACACCCTCCCTACTTAGCTCATCTGGCCCCCAATGACTTTTTTCTTTACCCAAAGATAAGGAAATATTGAAAGGAAGACATCTGATGGCATTCAGGACATCGAGGGTAATACGATGACAGCTTTGATGGCCATTCCAGAAAAAGAGTTCCAAAATTGCTTTGACAGGTGGACAAGGCACTGACTTCTGTGCATAGCTTCCCAAGGGGAATATATCAAAGGTGACCAAGTGATATTCAGCAACGAGGTATGTAGCATTTTTTTCTAGGATGAGTTTGCAAGTGTTGGATCTTGTACTTGTCTTTCTGGATTGGAATTTAAAACCTGAATTAATAGATTCTGCAAGATTCACGATTTGCCTAACTAAGATTGGAATTCACAAGACAGATAATAGACATAAATTTATTACTCTGCCTTCTCCATAATTTGTGTTACTGCTATTAACAATCTTTTAAAACCAACGGATACAGATAAGTTTGTTTTAGCTTTTTTGTTCAGCATTTTATCTCCCTTTTGGCCTGTCTTATCTTACTGCCATTTAATTTGTACACTTCTGCAGGTGGGAACATTCTCAGTGGCCAGTGAGGAAGTCTTGAAGAATAGAGCCATAAAGAAAGCAAAACGTAGAAATGTTGGATTTGAAGTGAGTGCTTTCTTACAGCTTTTGTATTAAATACTAATCTGATTTCTGAGATGCAGAGAGTATTCTTGCTGCTGGGAGCAATCATGTCAACAAATCTTTTTAAAAAATGTTTACTCCAGCTGGGTGTGGTGGCTCACACCTGTAGTCCCAGCACTTTGGGAGGCCAAGGTAGGAGGATTGCCTGAGTTCAGGGGTGCAAGACCACACTGGACAACATAGCAAGACCCCTCTCTATAAAAAAATCTTTTTTAAAGAATATAAAAAAATGCTTGGTGTAGTTTATTGTAGATAGAAAAAATAATAAATATGAAGACTGGACCTTAATAAAGGGAGCTTATCCAGTTGAGGAAATAAGATAAATACAAATTCAAGTTGAGTGACAATATGAAGAAGAAAAACGAGTAAAGCAATACAAAAGGTAAGAGAAGTGGTGTCATAAGATATATATAAGAAAGGGAAATGTAAGTATATTTGTAAGGTCTTATCTGTTCCCTGGGATTGAGGCCTGGGAAGGAGGAGTCCTTTCATTGTACTAGATGTATTTCACATGTCAGTTTTCTTTCTGGTATGATAGTATGGTGTTTTGTTTTTTGAGTTGGAATCTCACTCTCTTGCCCAGGCGGGAGTGCAGTGGCACACTGCTCATGGTCACTGTAGCCTCGAACTGCTGGGCTCAGGCGATCTTTCCATCTTAGCTTTCCAAGTAGCTGAAACTACAAACCCGTACTTCCACAACCGGCAAATGTTTTGATTTATTGTGGAGATGAGGTCTCACCAAGTTGCCCAGGCTGTTCTCAAACCCCTGGGCTCAGGCAATCCTCTCGCTTTGGCCTCCCAAAGTACTGAGATTAGAGGCTTGAGCCACTGCACCCGATCCGATAGTATAGTATATTAAAATGTTTCATTCTTGTGCTCAGAAAGATAAAAGATGAGTTTTGTCTCTTAAGTGGAAATCGTGTGGTCAGATTCCCACAGTCACTCACATTTAACAACTTTTCCCCAAGATAGTCCTCACTCTTTAAATATATTTAGACCTCTGAGTGTAGTCTTGGTGGCCTGAACATCTGACATCAGCCAGGAAAAGCCACTTTGAACATCCTGGCAGCTTTGAAATAAACCTACTCATTAACTCATTCTGCAGTGTTCAGTTTTTGTTGTTTTTTTTCAAGTTGAAGTCTCACTCTGTCGCCCAGAATGGAGTGCAGTGGCATCTCCCCGCCACCGCAGCCTCAACCTGCTGGGCTCCAGCGATCCTACTGCTCAACTTTCCAAGTAGCTGGAACTACAGGCATGCACTACCACGCCCGGCTAATTTTTTTATTTTTTATCGTAGAGATGAGGTCTTGCCAAGTTGCCCAGGCGGGTCTCGAACCCGCGGGCTCAGGCAATCCATTCACCTTGGCCTCCCAAAGCGCGGCATTACAGGCTAAGCCACCGAGCCCAGCTGTTGTTTTTAACAGGCTTGATTCACTTTGTTTTTCTTGTATAAAAAGCCCATATTGTCCGGGTGCAATGGCTCAAACCTATAATCCCAGCACTTTGGGAGGCCAAGGCAAGAGGATTGCCTAAGCTCAGGGGTTCGAGACCAGCCTGGACACTTGGTGAGACCTCATCTCTATAATAAATCAAAAAATATCTGGGCATGGTAGTGCATGCCTGTAGTTCCAGCTACTTGGAAGGCTGAGGTGGAAGGATCGCCTGAGCCTAGCAGGTAGAGGTTGCAATGGCCACTGCACTCCAGCCTGGATGACAGAGTGAGGCTCTAACTCAAAAAAACCCCAAAAAACAAAAAACCTATGTTGTTGCCATAGCTGGAGCCTGAGTCTTCCACACAGACACTGGTGTGGATCTTGACAAGATGGTTGGTGAATTCCTGATAGTGAGACTTGGTGAATGTAGTCCCTTTCCAGAGGTCGGGTCAGATACCTGTAGGTCTTAGAGATGGCATCAAAGGTGGCCTTGGTGAAGTTGCTCGGGGTGGCAGTGCAGCCCTGGCTGAGGTGTAGCTGTCATCAATAACAGCATCTTTTTGGGCACGGGGCCAAGACAGTGCCAGTGCCCCTGAGGACAGGGATAAGTAAGGCACAGCAACAGCCTGTCACCTGCAAGGGATAGAGTGGGATTTACCAGTATTGTTCCCTCAGTAGCCTCTCCACACAGGGACAGTGGAGAACTTGACTAGGATGGTGGCCCTTTGGATGGCAGTGGCTACCTCCTTGGAGCACTTAACACCCAGACTAATGTGACTGTTTGTAGTCCCCGATGGCAGCAAGCACCTTGAACATGGTCCGCTGGCCAGCACAGATCTCCTTTTGCACTGGCATAATCTCCAAAGCCTCACCCTTGGCAGATACCCCCAGGAAGAAATCAATGATCCTAGACTCCTTGATGGGTGGGAAGAGTCAGATCTCCCCCAAGGACTTGATTTTCATGTCCTTGACCAGGCAACCCAACTTGATGACGGATATCGCTCCTTGTCCTTTCCTCTGTGAACTCTGTGGTCATGACCCTGGCCCCTGAGGCTGCTGCCACAGCTTTCATTCCAGGGCCTTCCAGCCCTCCTACTGCACCAGCGTCACCTGCCATTTGGTGTTTTCTCAAAGAAGCAGCCAATTTTTTAAAATCAAGAATGAACTATATTACTATGTAGGTTGAGTACCCTCAATCCAAAATTCCAAAGTGCTCCAGAATCTGAAGTTTTTTCAGCACCAACATGACACTCAAAAGTAAAATGCTCATTGTCAGATTATGGATGCTGAACCAGTAAGTATAGTGCAAACATTCCAAAATCCAAAACATTTCTGGGCTCAGGCTTTTTTGTTAAGAGATACTCAACATCCGTTTTCCTTTTCTTGTCAAATAAAAAGGAAAGTAAAGATATATCAATGCTCACGCTTTGAGAAACAATGAAAAGAAGTTATTACAAAAATATTCACGACGTTGCCAAAGTTTTTATCATAATTTTTGTTTTAAGTTTGAAAATGTTTAAGGAAGGGAGTGGGTAGGTGAGGATGCAGGCAGGCAATTAGTGAGAAATGTACAGCTGTTGTTACTGTATAGCAAATTATTTGCTCAGAGCATCTCATAAATGGTGGTATATGTTAATGAGAAAATCAATTCAAATTGCAAAAATAAAATATACTTACAGTCTGCCTAGAATTTTATACTATTAATTCAAGGTAGAGATACATGATCATATAGCAAATGGATTTTCAAGTGGTTCCGTGTAGTCACTTGTATATATCTAGAATGTAACGGCCAATGTAGTAAACATACATTCCTGCTCTGCTCCACTCCAGTGCATGTTTCCGAGGAACATTATTTCCTGGAGCTGGAGCTGTAGAATCCCTTTCATGTGGCCCTCAGGTTAACTGGAGGGGTGCTACTAAGAAAGAAGATGAGTAGAGGGCAAATTTGTTTTTAGGGAAAGGACGCTGTGCAGAATTTCTTAATCCCACATCTAGAGATTAGGACTTCTCTTTAAATTGTTTATATTTTGCTTAAAGATGTTTATTCAAGCCGGGCTCCGTGGCTCAGCCTGTAATCCCTCGCTTTGGGAGGCTGAGGTGAGTGAATTGCCTGAGCCCCCAGGTTCGAGACCCGCCTGGGCAACTTGACGAGACCTCATCTCTACAATAAATCAAAAAATCAGCCGGGTGTGGTAGTGCGTGCCTGTAATTCCGGCTACTCAGAAGGCTGAGGCGGAAGGATTGCTGGAGCCCAGCAGGCGAGGCTGCGGTGGCCGGGAGCGGCAACTGCACTCCAGTCTGGGCGACCGAGTGAGACTCCAACTCAAAAAAAACAACAAAAAAAAGATGTTTATTCATTTTTAAATTGACAAATAAAAATTATATATTTGTGGTATACAGCGTGATATTTTGAAATATGTATACGTTGTGGAATGGCTAAATTGAGCTAGTTAATCTGAATTACTTTACATACTTATTTTTTGTGGTAAGAACACTTAATCTCCTCTTCTAGTGATTGTCATGTATATAGCACATTGTTGTTCATTATAGTCCCCATGATGTACCATAGCTCTTGATGTATAGTAGTTTTAGTATTTCCATTTTTTCTGGTCTAATTTTAGTATTTCCTTAAGATTGGTGACTAGTTGGCGGATGTGGGTGTAGAGCTAGGTGATGGTTGCTAGCTCTTTCACTGAGACAATATATGTGGAAAGGGGACAACTTTAAGAGGAAATTATTTGTTTTGGAGATGTTGTATTTAGTCCTTTGTGCGTTCAAGTGGAGTTCTCTAGAAAAACAGGAATAGAACAGGAATTAGGGTTGAGGGGTGGTACAGCTTGGGGAGTTTTCGCCATACGGGGAATTGCAGCCATGGGGTAGATGGGAAGAGGCATGACAGCGGGAGCTCAGGTGAGGAGTGAGAAGCAGCAGCTCAGCAGAAGGAGAAGCTAAGGGAAGTCCATCTCGAGGAGGGATAATTCAGCTCTGAATAAATGAAAGTCAAGAAGTAGAAACGGCAAGACCACAGTCTAAACTTAGCTAGAGGGATGTGAGGAGGCTGACAGTAAGAAATTAAATAGACATAATAATTGGATTTCACATGTAATTTTAGTTGTAATTTTTAGCCTCAAGTTTTCATCCGAATTTGTATTTTAGAAAGATTAAATTTCATATCATCTACCTAAATGCAGAAATGTGACTTTTCCCTAATAATTCGTTTGTTTAATTCTTCAGCAGATCTGCTAGGCACTGGGTATACATTGGTGAGTAAAATAGACGAAAATACTCTTGCATTGTGGAACTTTTTTCGGGGCGGCGGGGAGTAGTCGGAAGTCTCACTGTGTTGCCCAGGCTGCTGGAGTACGGCAGGACGATCATAGCTCACCTCAGCTTCAGACTCTTGGGTCAAAGGATTCTCTTGACTTGGCTTCCTGAGTAGCTGGGTCTATAGGCACGTGCCACCACACCTGACTAATTTTTTATTTTTTGTTTTTTGTAGGGATGGGGTCTTACTATGTTGCCCAGCCTAGTCTCGAACTCCTGGGTGCACACAATCCTCCCACTTCAGCATCTCAAAGCGCTTAGATTTCAAGCAAAGCCACCATGTCCAGTGGCATTTACTTCTTGATAATGGAAGAGAAACAAATATATAGTTTTCATTTTTCTCCATGAGTGCCATGGAGAAAAATAAAACCAATGAGGAACATTGCAGGACGTGTCAGTGCCCATGGAGCCTAAAGGATACCTTCTCGTTCAACTATTACTCTCATTTTTCTGAATGTCTTTTTTTGTTTAACTAGTAGTTCTTGAATTTTGTGATGATTCTAGAGCCATTTACTATCAGTAATTTCTAAAATACCTATAAGAACTGTGTGGCTTTTAAATACAGTGCAAAATAAAAGGCCCTGAAGAACTACTTGCAGCTTTATAGATTGTTTATGAATCATTGTTTTAAAATAACAGCTTACCTATTGCTGTGTTGCCCAGGCAGTGTCGTGCAATGCAGTGGTATAACCATAGTTCACTGTAGCCTTGAATTCCTGGACCCAAGTGATCCTCCTACCTCAGCCTTCCAAGTAATCAGGATTGCAGGTGCATGCCACCATGCCTGGTTAATTTTTAAACATTTTTTTGTAGAGATGGGGTTGCCTAGGTTGGTTTTGAACTCCTGGCCTCAGGTAATCCTCCTGCCTTGGCCTCCCAAAGCAGTGGGTCCAGATCATAGGCCACCACACCTGGCCTGTATTTTGGATTGTAAATGATGAAAGATCAAATTTAGAGCACCAGCATCTAAGCTATATTTATTATGTGCATTTAAATTCATACAGGTTAAGATTTTGCATTCTTTGCCTCATTTTATTGCTATAATGTATCAGTGATAAATAAATATCTGAAATTTGTAGATGTGATTGAAACTTGTGGTTTGGGAAAGTAATATTTATGTTAACTGGCTCATTTAGAAAATGAAAAGGTTCTAGTTTGATTTTTTTTTTTTTTTTTTTGGTGAGGTTGTGATTATACTGTAATTCATGGAAACTTAAGATTTATGAATTCTGTCTTAGATGTTTAGTCTGTGAAGCAAATTACTCCCTGTGGGGTTACCAGTACTGTCACAGCCTGACCAGGGTCTTATGCCTGCTGCAGAGAAATTAGCCAATGTATTGATTGAGACAGCAACATCACAATAAAGAATTTAATGATCACAAAACAGCTGAGTGAAGGGAACAGGGGATGTTCCTCAAATCTGCCTCCTTGAGAATTTTAGGCTAAGGTTTCTAAGGATAATTTAGTGGGCAGGGGGCTAGGGAACAAGCGCTGCCAATTCGCTGGGGATGATGTCACTGAAACGTTTTGGCATGCAGAGCCAATTTCTGGGAGGCCGTAGGGTTAACTCCTTGGAATATGTCCCGGGTCCAGGTGGGCTTGTTGATCTGGCAAAGTACAAACCTGAAAAATACCTCCAACATCGCTCTTAGCTTTTCCAATGATCTGTAGATCCATCCGCTCTCTGCTGACCCTGAACAATAAGCCATTATAGACATAGCTTAGCAGGAAGGGATGCAGGAGCTGGGATCCCTGGAGATTAAAGCTGCTCACACCCTTTGACCGGTCAAACTTCTGGACGCCATCAAGGAAATCTGTGTGGCTTGGGCTCGTTGCTGAAGGGAAAGTATGCTTATCAACCTCCCTGGCAGCTTCCTTACTTCCTGGGATCAGGGCATGAAGATAACTGGTTGCTTTCTGTTGAAGTAACTGTACGGAAGAGAGCAAACTTAGGAACGATCGATTTGTTCATTTCTAACCATTGCTATAATTTTTAAGGGCTCATCTCTTCTGCAGCGTTCACCTCGTTGCTCTATATTAATTTTATAGATGAGGTTTTACTACTCTGAACAAAAAAAGAGGTCATCAAAAACAGTAGTGAGTTTAGTAAAGCACTATAAACTGAGGAACTTTTCTCTAAAAATTCCTGGGGCAGAGAACAGTTTTAGAGTTTCAAAAGTCATACCAAACATTTTCAGATCTGCTTCGGTTGAGGATGTTAATGAGGTAGCACAAAGGGGAAAAGCCTCCTAGAAAGACCTTGCTAAATAGAACTTGAGGTTAAGAGAGCGGTGAGAAAAATTGGGAGTAGAAAGTTGTCCTGGATCGTACAACTAAAAGAACATGTAGATTCAAGGCTTGGTCATCTTCTTAGGTTCTTATAGGCTGAAGGCAGGTTGAAAGCTGTAGAAGTTCTTAGGAAATTAGGTAAATGGGTACAATATTTTTAGTTAACCTAGCTTGATGTTTCTGCAACTTCTTAGGCAAGTGGTCTTTGAATAGTACATGAAAAATCTTTCACTTGGGGTTTAGTCGTATCGAGCCTGTTTTCAGTGATTCTGAGACTGGGTGGTGGGTACATGCATTTATTGCATTAGTCTTTGTTACCTTTTCTGCCCTAAGTACATAGAATACATTTTTAAAATATATATTTTACTATAATTACGATGATCCTGGCTATTTCAGGGAGGTAGCTTCGAATTACAAAGCTGTTCTTATGTCTGAAACCTCTTCATCTCATTTCCTGTTTTTGCTTGTGCCACCCATTTTCCTTATAATGCTTGCTGACTGCATGTCCAGTCTAGGTGCTGTTTAGCCAAGATGAGATTGTCACTCACTTACTTTATTTGGTAATAAGAAGTATACTTACCTAATGTGTTTTCTTCATATTTCAGTCTGATAGTGGAGGAGCCTTTAAAGGTTTTAAAGGTCTGGTTGTACCTTCTGGAGGAGGATTTTCTGGATTTGGTAGTAACCCTGGAGGGAAGCCTCTGGAAGGACTGTCCAATGGAAACAGTATACCTGGCGTCTCTCCCTTCACCAGTGCAAGGGCAGCAACAGAACCCAAGGCAGCCTTTGGTAAGTAGGTTCCCCTCCCCCAGTCTACATCTGTGTAAGTATAATCTGGAAAATAACTTTGCAAGGATGTTTTTCTTGTACTCTCAGTCCTGAGACTGAGCAAATACAGGATACTAATAATGAAAGGATGGGACTTAGGGGAGATGTTGGCTGTTTTACAGAATAAGTAGGTAGAGCACAGGCTTGTATGCCAAAACAGACCTAGGTTTTGTTCTCAGCTCTGCCAGTTACCAGTTGTGTGACCTTGGTAAAGTTCCTGAACTCTTAAGCCTTAGAATCTTCAACTGTAAAAGGAGAATGACCCTCAGGATTGACCTAAGGGGAGCCAAAGGAGAAAAGGAAGCACTTAGATCCTCTGTGAATGCTTGCCTTCTTGTCCATTCATTCATTGTATGTTTACCAAGAGCTTTCTGGGTGCCTCACACCAAAATGGCTCCTGGAAACTCAAATGACATTGTCCCAGGGCCCTCCCAGGCTAGGTTTGTTTCGGCACAGGATGTGTTGATTGCCTGATCCTATTTTGAAGGAATTAGTTAAAAAACAAAACAAAACAAAAAAGCCTCTTGGAATTTGTGACAGAGAATGGGATTAAAATCTTGGAAGTGATCCTGACTGGTTGGATTGTATTTAGCTAGTTATTCCAAAAGTGTATACTGTTTTATTTTAATTAGGCAGAATGTTTAGTGTGTTGTAAAATAAGCACTTTATGTTAGGGCTTTAGCTACAGTCATCCCTTGGTGTCCATGGTTGATTGGGTCCCAGACCCTCTTGGATGTTCAAGTCCCACAGTCTGCCCACCAGAACCCTTGGACGGGAAAAGTCAGCATTCATGTTCCTTGGTTACATATTCCATGAATACTGTATTTTAGATCTACAGTTGGTTGAATCCACAGATATGGAACCTGCAGGTACAAAGGGCCAACCATACCTTGATAACTATTCATCGCAGTGATCTTGGGGACTACATTTTATGCTGACTTAATATTTTGACAGTTCTGTTTGGCAAGGGCATCGTTTTGAAGGAAAAGACTCATCTTAAAAGGTGTAGTGGCATGGCTCAGCCTGTAATCCCGCGCTTTGGGAGGCTGAGGTAAGTGAATTGCCTGAGCCCCCAGGTTCGAGATCCGCCTGGGCAACTTGCCGAGACCTCATCTCTACAATAAATCAAAAATTAGCTGGGCGTGGTAGCGCGTGCCTGTAGTTCCAGCTACTTGGAAGGCTGAGGTGGAAGGATCGCTGGAGCCCAGCAGGTCGAGTCTGCGGTAGCCGGGAGCTGCCATTGCACTCCAGTCTGGGTGACAGAGTGAGACTCCAACTCAGAAAAAAATGTGTAGTGGCAAGCGTATGATGGGTACCGTTCTTGTATAAAGTTTGATTTAATCTTTATGATAACCAATTTTACTGATAACCAGTTCATAAATATTACTTCTTGAACACATACTTCTTGAGATGTCTCCATAATAGGATACAGTAAAAGCAGACAATATGAAGACAGGGTGGTGTAAAAATCTAGATGATTTAATCACATCACCTAAAAAAGTTCTTTAATCTTCAATTTCCTATAGGTTCTATTGCTGCAAACGGCCCTACTGCCTTGGCTGATAAAAAGATTTCAAATCCTAAAACTAACGGCGACAGTCAGCAGCCCTCCTCCTCTGGCCTTGCTTCTAGTAAAGCCTGTGTCGGGAATGCCTATCACAAGCAGTTGGCTGGCTTGAACTGTTCTGTTCGCGACTGGATAGTGAAGCACGTCAATACAAACCCACTCTGTGACCTGACACCCATCTTTAAAGACTATGAGAAATATTTAGTGACTATTGAACAGCAACATGGAAAGAGTAATTCTGAAAATGAATCTAACAAAATGTTGGTTGAAACTCAGTCTCCTTCCCTATTTAGTTCAACAAAATTACAGCAAGACTCAACATTTTTGTTTCATGGCAACAAAACTGAAGACACAGCTGAAAAGAAGATGGAGGTTGCATCTGAAAAGACAGTGGACTCGTCACTGGGAGCAACAAGTGCCTCATTTAATTTTGGCAAGAAAATAGATAGCTCTGTTTTGGGCTCATTGGGCTCTGGCCCCCTGACTGGATTTTCATTTTCCCCTGGAAACTCCAATGTATTTGGCAAAGATACTACTACCCAGAGTAAACCAGTTTCTTCGCCATTTTCCACTAAACCATTGGAGAGCCAAGCAGAAGGTGGAAGTAATGAATACAAAGGTAAATATCAAATTTATCATTTTAGATTTGTGTAAGCTTTGTGTTTACTGGGAAAAACAGACTTTTGATTTGGAGTGGATCTGGATTCACATTGTGACATCATTCCCTCAAAGTGTGCTACCTGGACACAGTTTATTAGCTTCTCTGAGTCTTAGTTTCCTTACTTATAAAATGGATTAAGAATATTAAAATCAAGAATATGAAAACACCTGATACTTTAAAAAGTGTCAAACACACATGGCATTGCATATTTAAAAAAGTGAATTAAGAACATTTTTTGAAAATTGTGTTTTGGAAAAAGCTTATGAATATCCCCTGAATTGGTTTGTATTTAGGAGATTTGACTATAATTAAAGTCACATGACAAAGCAGTACTTGACTATACAGTAAAAAGACTTTTCATAGGTGTAGAGAACAAATTGACTGTTTTCCCTGTAGATCTGGATATGCCACCTTTCCAACAATGGTGTCTAAATGACATGTCTGCTGTATGTGTTATTAGTAGCCCAGAACAAGCATGTCTGGGCCTTAGTCCCAGCCTCCTGAGCTCTCTCTGTTATTAGCTCTCTGAAAAGTTTGGTGATGTCATAATGTCTTGTTATCACATGATAGTTGTGATGAACAAATGATGTCTGTGAATATAGTTAGTTGCAAACAGGTCAAAGTGCACTTCTCAAGATGTTAACATATTAACCCCTGGAAAGAACGCTGCCTTTGCCACTTGGCTACCGAAATATATTATACCTAGAGCTAGACTTCCATTGTTGTTCAGTATTGCCCTACCTTTTAAGTATATCCTCAGGCAAGGGCTCTCGAGGGAAAGGAGGAGGATAAGGGTTTCTCCTTTAATTTTTTCTCTGCTCCCTGAAGACAAATGGAGAGAGTCTTTTCTGATCCTAGGGCAGTCACAGCAACACAGTGATGTTGAATTTGATTTGAGTCTCAGTGGATGCAGGATTCACCTCTGGAAGCAACTATTGTGGTGATCATATTTTATGCATCAGAAAGACTTGGGAGCTTGTTAAAAATAACAATTGTTGGGGCCAACCCTGGAGAACCTAACTCCCACCCTGGAGAGTCCTGGGAACCTTCTTTTTTAAAAAAAACCTAAGGAGATTCTAGGGCACTCTGGCCTTATGCAGGACCATCTTACAGTTTAAATCTTGTCACCTAATTGTTTAAGCCCCACAATTGTTTTTCATTGCTTTTTAGTGAGTTACATGACATGAGTTTATGCAACTGCCTTTCTCTGTAAGGGAGTGTATCTTCTGTAAGAGGATCCTTTATATATGTGTGTAAATAGTGTCTTAGGTCTCCTGAGCTTGGGTCCTGTGAAAGGCTCAATCAGTAGTGATACCTGTGGTACCAAAGCAGTGAGCCATGTGGCCATTCAGACAAAGCTTAAATAGCTTACATGGCTTTGGAATGATTTCTCTGATTGCCCTATAAATAAATAAATAAATATATATATATATATATAAAATCTTCCTATCTTCAGCCATTGCTGATATTAGTTATATCTTGAAATGATGTAGATATGGTCACAGGAACATTTAGGGGTGAAGATTATAAAAGCCCATCTGAGCCTTAAGTGGATAATCGGAATATAAATAGCTGAATGTTGACTAATTATTTTTTGGTAAATGTCATAAGCGTGGACATTGTTTTCATTCTAAAGCTTTCTGTAAACTAGAAGTTATTTTAGAATTGAGATGAATATTCCCATTAAAAATGATTCTTATTTTTCACAAAATAAAATCCAGCAGGCACCCTAGCCCCCTCCCCCGCCAAAAAACAATCAGGTGTGCATTTGCAGTCTCTGCATCTGCTTACATGGGATGTTCAGGTTGAGATTTAGGGAGGGAGTTAACAAACATCTGTCGCTTTCTCGAGCTCTTGGTTTGAATCTTAATGAATTAGTGTCGTTTTTATAAAAGGTGGAGATGAAGAAGAGAATGATGAGCCACCCAAAGTAGTAGTTACTGAAGTAAAAGAAGAAGATGCTTTTTACTCCAAGAAGTAAGTCAGAATTGCCAGAATCCACTTGGTGAATGCTAGGGTGCTTCTGAACTGGGGAAGGTAGGGTTAACTTGTCCTCACAGAACTTTCCTGAGCATCTAGTCCTGGGGTCAAGCTGTGTCTGCTCTGAAGTGGAACAGGGAAGAGTTTTTGGCTTGTTTATTTAAAAACCAATCCTAGAAATTGAGAGACCCAAGAGACTAAAAAAAAACTCAAAGAGAACTATTACTCTATGAATTCCTACCCCATGTTCACTGTATTTGTTTGCAGTGTTTGTACTTAGAAGAAATGTCTTGCTGTGGGTGTATCTTACTCTTTTCTGTGATTTTTTAGCTCTTTTAGAGTGCCTTAGATATGGGCTTTGCTATGGTCTTCCCAACTCATCTCGTCTCATGCTTCTCTTTCTTTCCTTTTCTTCCCCTCCTCCTCCTTCCACAAAAAAATTACTTAGTCACTGATTTCAGGTTTGGTTTTACTTCTCTTAATCTGGAGACATCTCTGATCCCTCCCTGGAGACGTGGTTGGCCTTTCTGGGTTTTCTCACTACCAAAAAATTATGCGCAATAACTGTCCCTTCCTTTAAAAAAGATACATAAAACCTGTCTTTCCTCTAGTGATGAGAGCTTTTGTTTTGTGTTTGTTTTTAAATGAGAGCTGCTTTTTTCAGAAGAAAGCTAAAAGGAAGTGTTAAATTGTCTCATCTTTCTCTCAGTTAAATGAGATTACTTTTTTGCAAAGCTATTTACTGAAAAAAAAATATGAGTCATTTTAGAAACTTTCAAGGTGTCTGACACAAAAATTTCAGAATAATGAGTCAACATCTGCACATGCCAGGGGTAGTGGCTCACACCTGTAATCCTAGCATTTTGGGAGGCCAAGGCGAGAGGATTGTTTGAGCCCAGAAGTTCAAGACCAGCCTAGGCAATATAGTGAGACCTTGTCTCTACCAAAAAAAAAAAAATTAACTGGGCATGGTGGCACATGCCTGTAGTCCTAGATACTTGGGAGGGTGAGGTGAGCTATTAATCGTCCGACTGCACTCCAGCCTGGGTGACAGAATAGACCTGGACTCAATAAACAGAAGTATCTGCTCGTGTGACTTATTCTAATTAGAAATAAATCTTAAAGTCAGGGTCACATCTGGAAATCCCATAGGATGTGGCAATTTGTTTTAAAAAACTGCTAATAAAAAAATTACCTAGGCATGGTGGTGCATGCCTGTAGTTCTAGCTTCTTGGAAAGCTGAAGTGGAGAGATCATCTGAACCCAGCAGGTTGAGGCTGCAGTGACTGAGTGTGCCAGTGCACTCCAGCCTGGGCGACAGAGTGAGACTCCGACTCTAAAATAAAATAAAATAAGAAATAGACATTTCTCCCCTCCCCACCCCCCAAAAAAAAGAGATGGAGGAGATGCGGGCCGGAGTGTTTGACTTAGGTTTGATTCTTTCATTAAAGGGCCAGTTCAGCTCTCTTGAGTTCAGGGCTACAAGGGCAAAGCAGGGCAGGAAGGGCGTTCAGCCATGATTTTGACTGACAGAGAAAAGACTGTCAGAAAGTGTTTTTTAAAAAGTTTCATGGGGCCCACTATTTAACTTGAAAAAACATTGTTTAACTTGAAAAAAACGAGGAGGGTTTCTACAATTGCTAAGCAGATTATCTTCTGTTTTTTTGTCCAAACCCAATCAATTTGGATTAATACAAGATTTGTCCTGAAGCTTTCTGTGCTCTCATTTAATACAGATTTTCAACACAGATGTGAACAGTGGTTATTAGAAAAACTGTATTACTTGATTTGTCGTTGAATGTCTGATGATATATATTATTTTTCTCCATAGGTGTAAACTATTTTACAAGAAAGACAATGAATTTAAAGAGAAAGGCATAGGTACTCTGCATTTAAAACCTACAGCAAATCAGAAGACACAGCTTTTGGTGCGGGCGGACACCAATTTAGGTGGGTACTTTTTTTCAGATGGCACAAAATAATCATAATCAAGTAGTAATATAAAAGCTTTTTACCTTGCTGATTTCAGTCATTGAGATTTTCACATTTATTAATGTTTTTTAACAGAGATCATTCAATCATGTATTAGCCTGTATTTACTGATTATAGATTTAGTTTTGAGTACCAGGATAAAAGCGTATAAGAAAACGTAGATGTGTTCAAAGCTGTAAACAAAATGGTTTTTAATTTTGTGTTAGAAACATAACTAAGAAGCTAGAGATAATTGGATGGTTTAGCCCAGATGCAGTGGCTCACTCACGCCCATAATCCTGGCACTATAGTAGGTTAAGGTGGGAGGATTGCTTAAGCCCAGGAGTTCAAGACCAGTCTGAGCAACCTAGTGAGACCCCGTCTCTACAAATTATTTTTTCAAAAATTAGTCCTAGCTACTCAGGAGGCTGAGGTGGATGCATTGCATCGTGACAGAGTGAGACCCTGGCTCAAAAAAAATTCCGAGGTCCCATCCCCAGTTGTACCCTTAAGATAGTTACTGGCAAGAAACTAGTGCCTGGAGGAGGAGGAGGAAGAGCAGGTCTAAGATGAAGTGGTTTGTGGTGGTAGACCACAGCGCCTACGTTGCAGAAAGAAACTCCTTTCCCGTGAGCTTGACTAATTTGTAATAATATTACAGTCATGTCACTCTTGCCAAGTGAGCTATGCTGGCCTCTGTGTCAGAGGTGTTCTTTGCTGACCGTTTGTCTTTTGTTCATGTGACACAGTGAAGACTCCAGGTCGTGCCGGTGTGTTCTTCCTTTAGTGCAAGAATGTGCCATGTTTAGAGGGCTGATAGTTCTGAATGAGGCCATTGTCTCTGTGAAGGAGGCTGTGTAGGTGCAGGAAGGTCAGAAGGCCACTCCTCCAGTGAGGCCAGGTTCCTTCAGAGGCCTTACAGTACTCTGTTGGAGACAGTGCCGACGTCTGGCTGGGAACTAGTCCTGATTTTGTGACATGACTGATAGTTCCCGGTTTTAGATCTAGTAAGTGTTAATATTTAGCATATTACAGGCTCCTTTTGTGGAGCTATAGTTTATATCATGTTGATGTATTTTTTTTTCTTTGTTTAAATGCAGGCAACATATTGCTGAACGTTCTGATTCCATCTAATATGCCATGTACTCGAACAGGGAAAAATAATGTACTTATTGTCTGTGTTCCAAACCCGCCAATTGATGAGAAGAACGCTGCCGTCCCAGCGACCATGTTAATTCGGGTGAAAACTAGTGAGGATGCTGATGAGTTGCACAAAATTTTACTAGAGAAAAAGGACACCTGAACACGTGACAGCGACTGCGGAATTATTGCCAAGCTGCTGCTTACCCCATGCCCCTTAAACTTAGACAGTTTCTCTTCTTTGACATTCTAAGAACTTATAGATAACTTAAAACTTCTGTGAGGAAGATTAATATGGCCAATAAAACCTTTAAATGTTAAGTGTCAAGAAACTATTCTCCCTTCTTAAGAACTATCTAATGTGTAAGAACTATTCTCCCTTCTTAAGAACTATACATTTGAAATTTTTGGGAAGATTTTTAAATGTTCATTTATCTATTCAACTAACCACAAATGATTTCTTAAAGAACTGAAATCAGGGTATTGAATCGCTTTCCCAAAGGCTCATCTGACCTGTGGGTTTTCGGGTCTGTTCCACGCTAGCAAGGCTTCCAACAGGTGTTCAGGTGCATCCAGGAGGAAACTTGCTTGCGTGGTTCTTCTCTCCCGTGGGCTTGGCCGGTTTCTGAGCCTCGCACTCTTACCAAATGCACCTGCTGCCATGCTGTGACTGGGGTGTGTGTCCTTGGCTTGATAAAGTTTTATTTTAGGCTGAAATGTGAGTACTGAGTGTTCATCTTCAGCATTCACATCCTTAACCTGTTGTTTGCAGACGTTGGCCTTTAACCCTGTGGGCTGCTTTCCTGTAATTCAGAAACTGCTTTTTTGTTTTAAAAGGAAATGAACAGCTTGTGGAGGAGTTTTTTGGTTTTGTAGTTTTTATTCATGAGGTGCTCTTACTTCTTTGCCCCCTACAGACAAAGTTAAGATGGGGGCTTGCCAGGAATGGGTTTTAAAAGCACAAATTTGGTAGCATATTGTTTCTAGACCATGGAAAGTAAACCCTTAAGAAAGTTAAGTCAGTGAAGCCATCTTAGGAAAGGAAGATAAACTCATAGTCCTTTGTACCGTGATGAACCTTATGGATATAAAAACTATTAAGTGCATAGGAGCTTTGATTACACGTGAGCCAAGTGAATTCACTAGGAAACATGGAATGGAAGAGAAAATTGTGTGTAAATGTTGCCTTTAACTTTTGACAGCAGTGTATTATACATTTGATATCTGAAAATACGCATTTACTTTTAAGAATAAGATTCACTGTGTCCATGTGGAAGAGAGCCATGGTTGTGTACAAGAGGATCCATGTCACTTCTCGAGAGCTGCCAGGTAACTAATTAGCATTCTTTGAAGACTCGGCACTCGAATTAGATGCAGATTTTAATGTTGACATTTCCACTTTCGTTCATTAATCATTTAAAACTGGTACCAGCTGATCTTGTGTAAAGGCTCAGGGTCACTGCCCAAGGGCTCACACTTTTACGTTCTGTTCATTGCAAAATATGTTCTGACTCAATGTAGTCAAAATAATCGTGGTTAGTAGAGTTGCTTTTTTAAAACTACAATTTTTAGGTGTAAGGTAGGGGGCAGCTTTATGATCAAATATGGCTAACTCAAGTACTTGTGATAGTTGGGCCAGTGTTATCAGGAGAGTCTTGCCCTACTTTTCTGTTGTTTTATTTAGTGGAAGAATTTGGCCCAGTGTGTCTTTGGATAAATGCATGCAGAGAGAGGCGTGCTTGCGCTGTTACGGGATGCTCTTAGCTATGTTATGTGACCTAGGGAGGAAGTGGCAATTATTTTTACATTCACTTTTTAGAATTGAGAATGATTGTGAGCTTTTGTTACAGATGAGTTGTAGTAAGCATGTGGTTGGCACTGTTAAGGTAATATTGGCCCTGCCCTGTTGACATTAGGTTTATCCAACTTTTCAAAAGATGGAGAGGAATCAGGAACAAATTCCAGTGTGTCACAGCTTAGCCATGTGCTGGCTGTGGTACGAGCTGGAATCCAACTTAAAGGTGTGTTGAGGAACACGTCAGTGTTAACACTGCAGTACTCTGTTAGCGCCTGCGTGTGTAGTGGGATGTTAATACCAAAAATGGCGTGAAAAGATCATGATTGGATTACCTTTTAGCTCCCCCGTAAAAATAGTTTATATATTTTTAAATTAGTGGATATATGTGGCTGTTTTTTTCCTAACATTCCCAGCAGATTTTGCTGCTAAGATTATCACTGTTAAAGTGAAAATTACAGGGGAAAATGTGATGTGTATATCACAACTCAGAATGTGATGTTTTCTTAAAATCACTCTTTCATGCTTTAGGGATTTGTTGCTTTCCACATTCATTATGTATTAGTGTAAAAGGCCTGAGTATATGTGGATTTTATTGTAAAATCTAACTGCTTGTCTTACTTGGGGGATGGGGCCCCAGAGGGCTTACCTGTTTTTTTCTGCTGTGTTAACAACTAATTTTGTCCTGTGGGCTGTTTTAGTTTGACTTGTTTTTTAACAAAATATTAGAAATTGGGTTTAACATGTTTAATGTGGACTGAAATTTTCAAAAATCTTTAGTTTGAGAATCCATAAATTGTGTTATATATGTGACCTAAAGAGAGGTGTGTATATTTTTGTTATCTACAATTTTTTTTACATCTTGAATACTCAGTATCCCAGTGGCCTTTAAAAAAAAAAAACAATGTATCCATCTCATCTTTTTGTGCATTCCCAGTAAGCAAAAAAATTTGGCCCATCTTCATTAGAATTACAGACTGAAAACGTGTGTCCAGTTTTTAAAGAAGTTTAGATTGTGTTTCCATGGAAAGACAAGTCTGACTGTTCATAGACTGATTTTCTTTAAGAGGGTTATTCTGTTTTATAATCACAATTCTAAATCACATTTTCTATATGCTGCATGCCAAAAAAAAAAAAAAAATCTACCTATTCTGGGGTAGAGGGAATAAAAATGAATATCCTACCTTACTGTTAGAGTTCTAAAACAAATTTTTACTGAGAAAGCCTTTTTAGTAAAACTAAAGGTAAACAGGTTTGTTTCTGAGCATTTGTTAATTATCCCAATATTTCAGAAGAGTCAAAATGCAAGCTCTGTGCATTTGAAGACTTTGCAAACTCCCAAACCCTTGATTCTTCTCCTTCTGCAAGAGGGAATCTTAAGTAGAAACTGATTTCTCTGGTAGGTGATAGTGAGGAACTTTTCAAAACTGGTCTTTCTGATCCGGCACTCTGAACACAAGGCCATTGTATGCTCTTGGCCAGTAGCAATCATGGTAATGGACTCTCCATTTGATGCAGATGCAATTGTAACGGAGATGTAAAACTTCTTAGTAATCAAATGAATAAAAATAATTTGCTTTTTATTTTAAATAGGAAATTGTTTTCTAAAACTAAAATACTTGAATTGTCAGACAATATAATCTGTTGTATTAGATTTTGAATGCTCCCATTGAAGAAGTATAACAATCCATGAAATGTGAATAAATGCAAAGTAAACAAAATCACAGTGTTTTGGCAGTTTTATGTTCCTCTTTGATGCACTTGGCCTTGTACAAGCAAAAACATGAAGCCTCCCTAAAAACAGGAAAGTTGGCTAGGAGGCCAGTGAGAGACCAGCATATGATAAGACTCGTATATGAAATGAGACTATATCCAAACCTCTGAGACCATCGCTTCTCTTAGATGAATATTTTCACCATTTGGAATGGGAACAGCAGTTCCTTGATTGGCCTAGTGTGCAAAGCAACGTGCTAGGTGTGTGATATGTGTTATCTTGGCTAGTAGTCCTCAAAGCAAACTTCTGAGACATAGTTTCTAAAGTTTCCTAAGTTACTCAGCATTTACCTGACTTGTAAGAGGTATTTTCTCATTTTAAAAAAATATTGCAGACTTAAGTTACCCATCAAAGTATTTTTTCTGAACTATTGATATCTAATAGCAGCTATTTAAATGACACAAGGAGGGTGCCATCTGAAGAGTAAGATTGTACCTAAGCTGCACTAGGCCTATTGTAGGTACTCAACCGCATGCCTTGGTTAGAATGGGTTCTCAAAGTGAGTTCTAGGGCTGATAGCACCAGCAGCACCTAGGAAGTTAGAAATGTGGGCCTTTGGCTGGGTGCAGTGACTCACACTTGTAATCCTAGCACTTTGGGAGGAAGGCAGGAAGACTGCTTGAGCCCTGGGGTTCGAGACCAGCCTGGGCAACATAGTGTGACCTCATCTATGCAAAAAATCAACTGGATGTGGTAGCACATGCCTGTTGTCCCAGCTACTCGGGAGGCTGAGGTGGAAAGATTGCCTGAGTCCAGGAGGTCAAGGCTGCAGTGAACCTTGCTCATCCACTGCATTCTAGCCTGTTAGACTATTAGACCCTGACTAAAGACCAGGCGTGGTAGCCTGTAATCCCAGCATTTTGGGAGGCCAAGGCAGAAGGATTGCTTAAGTCCTGGAGTTCAAGACCAACCAACCTGGGCAATATAGTGAGACCTCATCTCTGCAAGAAAAAAAACTGGATGTGGTGGCACATGCTTGTAGTCCCAGCTACCCAGGAGGCCAAGGTGGGAGGATCGCTGCAGCCCAGAACAAGGCTATAGTGAGCTGTGATCATGTTAATGCACTCCAGCATGTGCAACAGAGTGAGGCCTCGACAAAAAGAAATGCAGAGCCTTGGGTCCACTCAAGGCTTATTGAATCAGAACCTCAGGTTGGGGCCCCATCATTTCTAAACATTGAGATACGGGCCGGGCACAGTGGCTCATGCCTATAATCCCAGCACTTTGGGAGGCCAAGATGAGGATTTGCCTGAGCCCATGGGTTTGAGACCAGCCTAGGCAACTTGGCAAGACCTCATCTCTACAATAGATCAAAAAATTAGCCAGGCATGGTGGCACATGCCTGTAGTTTCAGCTACTTGAAAGGTTGCAGAAGGATCACCTGAGCCCAGCAGGTTGAGGCTGTGGTGGCTGTTGAACATGCCACTGCCCTCCAGCCTGGATGACAGAGTAAGAGACTAAGTCAAAAAAAAATTGAGATGTAATCCATATAACAAAATTCTCCCTTTTAAAGTACACAATTCAGTGGCTTTTAGTGTATCAGTTGTGCAGCCATCACTATATGATTTCAAAGTCATTTAATCACTGAAAGCACTTACATAAAATTAATGTCAGGTCACAGGGTAAAAGCTTTCCTGCAAAGTTGCAGGCATAAGTTAAAGGTAACAAGTGTGTGGTTTCTAGGTTGTTGCTAAGCTGGCCTTCTTCCTTGCATGATTGCTCACACATAGTTGCTTCAACAGAGAACAGTCACTAATAATTAT